GAATTTTGCTATAGGGCATGTATACTCACCAAAGACAAGACAGAAAGTGAGAAATCATTCTTCAGGGGTAATGGTCATGCTGCAGTCCCTTCTCTTCCATTCTCCTCTTGTGATTTTGGGCACACATGCAAGCATGCCCAGTATGTGTTGCAAGCCACAAGGTCCAGAACTGAAACTACTGTTGACTAAGGAGTTCATTGCCTTTACCACTATTCCACCTGTTGGCCCCAAGTATCTTTCGTCTATGAACGAGAGAGAAACACTCCCAACAGACTCTTTACACTGATCCTCCACTGGCTTCAGCCAGCCCTGGAACAGGAACATCTACATACTCAATTGTCCAGGAGGTCTCCAGTTATGAACCTGGAACCTTCCCATTTGAATCAGCCTCACAGAACATGGTATAAGCACTCTGTCGCCATCTAGCCCCTGAATCGGTGACTTTTTAATTTCCAGAGGGAGTGTGTGCTCACCAGAGAGAAAGTACCTCCCAATGGGGTGTGGTCACACTGCTGTTCTTTTCCCTCCATTTCTCCATTGTCAGGATTTGGACCACATATGTACATGTGCCCAGCATGTCTTTCAAGCAGTCAGGGCTGGGAGTCAAACTATGTGTGGCCATTTGGGATATAGCTCCCTACCTAGGCACAGTGCTTAAATACTACCTCACAAGGCTGGCCCAAATCAGCAATTTTTTTTTTTTGTGAGTTTTTTTTTTTTTTTTTTTTTTTTTTTTTTTGCTATAGGGCGCGTGCGCTCGCCAGACAGAGAGAGACAGAGAGATAGAAAGCGAGAAATCACCCCCCAGGGGGGATGGCCACACTGCAATCCCTTCTCCTCCATTCTCCTCTCGGGATCTTGGGCACGCACGCACACGTGCCCGGCATGAGGTTAAGCCACCGGGTCCGGGACTCGAACCACGGTCGACTACATGGGAGTCCGGCGACATAGCCATTACGCTAACTGCTGGTCCCAATCAGCAATTTTTTAAACTCCTCATACATCCAAAGAACTGTGCTGAATTCCATGACAGTTTCAGAGAAGAAACAGAATCTTCCATGGTGTTGAAACTTACAATGCTGATCATTTGTGCTACAGCTGTACATGAATTCCTATACATAAAAGGCTACTTCTTAGTTCACTGTTGGGCCTGTGGTGCACCAGGCCACTTCTCTAGTGTCCAGTTTTCTATCTGGATCTACTAGGCCATGGTTCTCAGTATTACTTGACCTAATTCCCCATTTTTAAAATAGAAATCCCTACAACTGTATTCAGATATGGTATCGCCTACCTAGAAACAAAATTTCAATATAGTGAAAATATAAGAAATTCAGGAATAACTAAAATAGAAGGCCTAATAGAGTGCCCAGATGTTCACACCCACTTATAATGAATCACTTTTTACTCATAAGAAGTAACACAATAGTTAACTGGATATTGTGGGCACTGTTTAGGTGTTTAGGTATGGTTTAGGCCCTGAGGGAATCTCATTCTGTTATCTTTGAAGAGAAGACAGTGTGTATATATATATATATATGTGTGTGTGTGTGTGTGTGTGTGTGTGTGTGTATGTATGTGTGTGTGTGTGTATATATATATAACTGATAAGTTTAAGGTTTGTGGAGAAGAGGGATCCAGGAGGACTTCACAGGTACAGTGGATATTGAAGAACCCATAAACTTGAGGCGGTAGGGATGACTTTGAGGGTGAAAAAGAAGTAAGGGAAACTTTTCTCAGTATCCTTGCTTATTGTACACCAGCTATATACAGATGGTGTTATCCGCTGACAAACCGAAGATGAATAGAACACCTTCCTTGCCTGGTCAGGGCTCAGTCTAGCAGAAGTTAAGGGGTGAAAACAGAAAAATCACACGATGACATAAACCAAACCAGGGATACAGTGAGAAGACATTAAATAACTGGCACACTGCGTAACACACAAGTCAGTTCGTAAATTCCTCTCACAGTACTAATTTCCCTCCAGAGACCCATTTCCCCCAACTCCATTAATAGTGCTGTAATTCAGATATCCTTATTTACTTATTTACTACATGATGGTTTCTTAAAACCAAACAATGACAACGAAAAGAACCTATTTCACTTTGAATTTGAATTCTTCAGGAATTTTTTAATTTAGTTTTTGCTATGCTTACAATTTTGAGGATGTTGTGATTTATCATCAAGGCAAGAGAAAGAAATGAAATAATTGAGTGGCAGATTCCCAACTTTACTCGTTATTACTTTCACGTGAATTACTTTCGAAATCTAATTACTCAGGCAGCTGTTTTGATATCAATCACAGACTAAAAGCTGAGCACATATATTTGTTCGCTTACTTATAATTTATACCTTCGTCCTAAAACAATTTCAGTAACTCTATCAAGTATGTGACATTAGAGCAAAGGCAGTGCAGAAGTGCTTCACTTCACAATGGATAGTTGCCTTGAAAGTTAGGTACCCACTTGGGGAGTTCTCTGTACAAGGGGCTTTTGTAAACTCTAACGTGAAACTTTCTGTGAAGAATCCTTCATGGCACAAAAAGCCATCTCAATATCCCTTTGGTTTTGTAAGTTTAGCATGAAGGCATTGAGGTATGGCAGTATTCTTTCTTCATGCCTCTGATTCATTTCAAGTGTCTGTGCTTCATGTAGATTTTTCTGTTGGAAATAAATGATGGCCGTGGAAGAGCATTAGTTGTTTTTGCAAAAGGAAAGGAATCCTCCTGGTTGACCATTAACTTAACTAGCAGCCCACTTGTGATCACACATTTTAAAATGTTTATAACTAGTAGTTAGGTTTTTCTTCCCGCACATAGTGAAAGGTCATTAGAAAGTTGATGCCAAAACTGTGGAGTGACTTTAAAATACTTGTTTGATGTGTCAGAGAGAGGTAGAAATTTCACTGATGTGTTGTGACCCCCATTTTAACTAGAACCAGGAAGGATGAGCGTGATCCTTTAATCCTGTCTCCTCACTTTATAGCAGATGCCACAGAGGCTCCCAGGTTGAAAAACTGAGAGGGTAACCTCTCCAGTCTCTGCAGTTTGCAAAAGCCAATTCCAATTCATGTAATTTTATGCATGCACAGGAGAGGTTTGGTAGGTTTCTGCTAAAACCATGGGCTCTCTAACTCCTTAAAAAAATATATATATATATATAATTGAAAAATTACAAAAAAAAGTAATAGTAACAAAGCCATATAATTATATTCTGTACTTGAATGGGCTCATAGTATGGCCCTAAAAGAACTCTTCAGGCTAGTGGTGAAGCATTTATCACGCTCTTCGATAATGAAACTGGCTCCGCAAAGCCTGCTCTGAATGCCCCACTGGGCAGGAGACTGTGCGAGGCGTGTTTTATCTTTTT